TCGATAATTATAATATTAATAATAATAATTAAACGAGCAAATTGTTATCAATCAACGTAACGTAAACACGTTTTACACGTAACTCGTTACCATGGAAACGCTTGTTATTTGTTGCTGCTCTAACAATTCCGTCTTTCTTTTTCTTGTTGTTTCTGAAACGAATTCATGGCAATCGCAGATTAAGTTTTAAAATAAATTAAATTAAAACAAAATGATTTAAATTTAATTAAAACTTTAAACTAATTGATTGCAATAAATAATTTAATAATTGTTAATTAAGTGTATGGGAAATATTTATACATTAATTGTTAAATTCTTAGTCGAATGAAATTGGTTGAAATAAACTGTTTGTTCTATGAATTCGAAGATTTGATAAGTAAATAATCTGTTTATTTCTTTTGATTTTCAAGAAACAAATTAGAATTTTGAAATCGCTGCAGATAAATCATAGACGTTTGGAAATCGGTTAATAACTGTAGAAAAGATTATTCACGTTTTCTTATTTAGAAGATTCAAAGTATAAAAATAAAAAATTGTAGGTATAGTTATGCAAAATTGTTAAGTTTTCTTTGTAAAGTAAATATCAAATATAAAGCGGATGCAAGATTTTAATAAAATTATAAAAGAATTGGTTGTAAATGTAAAAATATGCAAGTTTTAGTTGTAGAAATTATTGTATTGTATGAAAGTGGATTGTAGAAAATTGTAATTTGTGTTTGAAAGGGTTTAAATGAAATTGTGTGAATGTAATTGGAATCGGCATGTGTGTTGTTGCTTGTTTGTTTTCAGTTCTTTGATAAAGATTGTGTGTTATGAAGCAGAATGCGCGATAAGGGGGCAGAAAAACACGAGGTTTTCGATACGTGGATACGGGAATGGGAGCAAACGATTAATTTAGTTTAAATGGGGGCGCTTGTTATAATTGAATGCGTTAATTGGCAAGTGAGAAGTAATTGTGTGTTTACCAGAGTCGCGGACAAGGTGTATCCGATCTCGGTCAACGGACATAGCTGCGTGGAAGTTGTACCCGCTTTGGTTGCTGGCCAACAGAGGAGTCCGTCGAAGATGAGCTCGCAGAACTTGTCCGCCGGTCCGAAAGTCCCGTTCTGGCTGTTCCTCGCGTAACACTCCCGTCTTCTGGTGTCCATCGCGACGACTGCGAGCCAAGAAGGATGGACGCGGACGACGATGACGATGACGACGACGGGAAACACCGTCCGGTCTCGCGACAACCCGGAGGGAAAAAAGCTTTCAGCGAAATTATCCAAACATATCTCTCTCTTTCTACATGTGTGTGTTTTATATAATATCGCATCGACAACGAGCGCACAAACAAGAAAAAACACACACACACGTATTATGTATACAAATTTTCTTCTGATAAAACCTCTCCACTTTCTCTATCTTCATTCCTTCCAATCAAAAAATTTCATCGAACTTATTAACTGCTCTATCTCTCTGTGTTCACCACATTTTTATCTTATTTTCACCAAAAATCGTAATTAATTTTTTTGTATAATTCGAAAAGGGAAAATTTTCCCAAAAACTCGTTTCAATCGATTAAAACGCAAATATTTGCAAAACCATCAAACACACTCGATCGCCTTTGAAAGTAAATATTTTCGTAAGTGAGTGCATTAAAATCTATTGAACTTTTTCAATATTAACAACATCCATCCATCTAATTTTTATATATTCATACTAATAGTAATATTATATTCCGAAAAAAATAACATTTTTAATTTGATTTGAAATTTTTTGCTTTTAAAACAAAAACAAAATCGCTAATAAAACCTAGAACAGATCCTTGAGGAACTTATTTTTTTTTTTTTCAAATTTTGTATTCAAATATAATTGCAACCAAAAAATATCATTTTTAATTTGATTTGAAATTTTTTGTTTTTAAAACAAAATCGCTAATAAAACCTAGAACAGATCCTTGAGGAACTTATTTTTTTTTTTTTTCAAATTTTGTATTCAAATATAATTGCAACCAAAAAATATCATTTTTAATTTGATTTGAAATTTTTAGTTTTTAAAACAAACAAAAATCGCTAAAAATACCTAGCACAGATCCTTGAGGAGTTTTTTTTATCAAATTTTGTATTCAAATATAATTGCAACTAAATCTAATTTACTATTAAGATTAGTTTATTAAAAAAATAAAAATTAAATTTTAATCAAATATCAACAATATAAAGTACATAGATTTCGATAACTTTAACTATTTTTTTTTTAAATCAATTGAATTAATCTATTTTAATACGTCTAGATTTTGATATTTCGTCCAATTTTTGTTTGCATTCATAAATATTATAAACAACAAACAAAACAAAAAAAAACGATAAAAAGTAGAAAAATAAACTTACACAATATTCTATATTTATAAAACTACTTGAGACTATTTCAATGATTTGTTTACCTTTCATACTTTTATACATAAAATATTCTTACTTTTGCTGCTTCATTATTATTTAAAAATTAAGAAAACTAATATAATTAATAAATTTATTAATAAAACACTCAGAAAATTGAAAGAAAATGTACTTTTGTAGTAAATTAATAAAATGTGTGTATGAGAACTACCCTTATTCATGTACGAGTTAGTGATAACAGATGTCGTCCCTTAAAACTCCCTTAACGATTGTGTTGTTTAAGGGTCGGTTATTTGGTGAATGGATTCGATGAGAAAGCATACTTACCTGGCGTAGGGGTTACTGTGATCATTAAGGCAGTTCCCCCAGGGTGAGGCCCTACCATTGCACTACGGCTGGGCTGACCCTTGCGATTATCCCTAATGTGGATAACTCGGGCGCACAATTTTTGGTAGTCGGGACTGCGTCCGCGCTGTCCCGGTTCATTAACTAAACTTAAATACAAAATTTTCACTTCAATTCACAATTTTCTCATTACTATTAATCTTATAGGATTAATCATAATTAACAATTGTTTCTAAATAAATTTATCAACTTTTTAATTTTTTCTATGTCATTTATGTTTAATTTTACAAATTTTCTAATTATAATTACTCAAAGTTTGCATTTATTTCATTTGTAAAACAACATTAAATAATTAAAACTTTTAATGTTAATATAAAACGTATTTTTTATATAAAAATAAACTAATCTATTATCTATATACCTTGTTTCCTTAAATTTATCATTAAAACATTAGTTTACTTGTAATTTTATTAATTTCAAAAGATGCGCGTATATTTGGTTGCCTACATAAATATATTAGAACATTTATTTTACTAAGTAAATATATTAATAAGAATATCATCTTTTCTTACAGCAATCATTTGTTTTCAAAAAATTACATTATTTGTCGAAAAATATGAAAATTTTATTCCTTCTCATTTTATATTTTTCAAACATTGTCCCTAAATTTTTGTGTCTTTATATTATTAAGTTATTAATTGATATATACTAAGTAAAGTAAATAAATTAATCAAAAAAAATCTTATAGAAATTGGTTGGTATTACATCAGTTGGTATTAATTAAAAACAAATTGACAGAATATAAAATATTTCATATTCTCATTTCTTATTCTATAACTTTCTTGCAATTTCCCAACCTTTAGTGAGTTTCTATTATAAATAAATGTTCTTGTATCATTCAAAGTTACGTTATAAATCGAAAAAAGTTAACTTTTCAAATTACGATGTGCTTGTATGCTTGCCTATGTAAGCAATTTAATTTATCAAGAAATTATTTCATTAATTTGATCATATTAATAGAAAGAAAATGAAATATTCTTAATCATTTTATATTTTTCAAAAAATGTCCCTACATTTTGTGTCTTTCTATAATTAAGTTATTAATTGATATATACTAAGTAAAGTAAATTAATTAATTAAAAAAATCTTATAGGAATTGGTTGGTATTACATCAATTGGTATTAATTAAAAAAAATTGACAGAATATAAAATATTTCATATTCTCATTTTTTATTCTATAACTTTCATGCAGTTTCCCAACCTTTAATGAGTTTCTAATATAAATAAATGTTCTTGTATCATTCAAAGTTACGTTATAAATCGAAAAAGTTAACTTTTCAAATTACGATGTGCTTGTATGCTTGCCTATGTAAGCAATTTAATTTATCAAGAAATTATTTCATTAATTTGATCATAATAATAGAAAGAAAATGAAATATTCTTAATTATTCTATATCTTTCAAACATTGTCCCTACATTTTGTGTCTTCCTATAATTAAGTTATTAATTGATATATACTAAGTTAAGTAAATTAATTAATTAAAAAAATCTTATAGGAATTGGTTGGTATTACATCAGTTGGTATTAATTAAAAACAAATTGACAGAATATAAAATATTTCATATTTTCATTTCTTATTCTATAACTTTCATGCAATTTTCCAATCTTTAGTAAGTTTCTATTATAAATAAATGTTCTTGTATCATTCAAAGTTACGTAACTTTTCAATATAAATGTTCAAATTACGATGTGCTTGTATGCTTGCCTATGTAAGCAATTTCATTTATCAAAAAATTTGATCACATTAATAGAAAGAAAATGAAATATTCTTAATCAATATACATTTTTTTGTATTATTTTACCAAAATTAACATTTAACAATTGTTACATATTGCTACAGTGTGGACATTTAAATAAATTAGTACAAATCAAAACTTCAAAATTAAAAAAAAAAGAAGCGCGTAAAGAAAAGTTGGTTGCCTGTATTAATTTCTAATTGGACTGCGAAAAAGAAAATTTCTATATATAATTATAGATTAAATTCATATAAGTTTTGTTCAAATAATTAATTATAATAATTAATAATTGTCCATATAATTCTTACTAAAAACATTTAACATTTATTTAAAATTAAATATAGATGAATTGTTTCTTTTAAATTTAGTGCAAATATTGCAATAAATGTTATTGTTCTATTGATGATAGAATTGCGGAAATTTGATTGTTATTAAGTGCATTGCCTTAATACGGCCCTGTCGTTAAACTATAAAATATAAATGTCACAATGTGCAGATGAAGTTGCCTATGGTCGTGTTAGGTAAACAACATATGGCTACGTTTTATCTGGATCATATCATATTTTTTGTTGTTGTTGTAGCTCGATAATAACCTGCGTCCGTTGGCAGTCATCGCCGAAAGTAAATATTTGCGCCTTTCACCTCTCCGTTATAGCGTAGATAGATCGAATGATGATGATGCTGATGATGTTGATGATGGACGTGCGTGCATTGCGCAGCTAACATCAGCCCGGTCATATCGCAGTGCAATGTCGTCCGGAGCAGTGTGAATCAGATACAGTGCGTAGAGTAGGTCGTGAACTGTGCAAAGAAGTACAATATATATATATATACACCTTGACAATCGTGCCTCTGATCGCACGACTTCCGTGTGCCGCGCTGACCGGACAGTAATGTGTTTGGGTGTCCTCAGGAGTTGTCGCAACATCTTCATCATCATTAGTTCTTCAGGTGGTTCGATCCTGTTCACGTAATGCTAATGATAAATGGTGCATCCTCGCACAGCAGGCCTCCTCCAGCTTACAACAACATCGAGGAGGCCACCACTTCGGCAGGAGCGCCACCCTCCTACGAAGAAGCCATCAACCCCAACGGTACGGATATACAACCAATGTAGCATCGTTTCTATGAGATGATGCACCGCTCGTTGCGTTCCCAGAGAGAACGAGGATATTTTTAAATCTCCCTCAAAAAGAAAAGAAACCAATACAAATCGGCAGACAGAGTAAACATAAACAAGATAACGAACGGAAAGTAAAATAAATAAATAGAGGAAAGAGGAAAGAAGGAGGAAGCAGACGGACTTTCTCTGCTTCATTTACGAATGATTGTATCAATGGGAAAGTTAAGAAACCGACCGATTCCACTTTCATCTCGAGGGGTCAAAGCGAATCGGCGTTCCTCATTTATTTTAATACATGCAGAGCATGCTTGCGTTTGTCTCACTCATAATTGCATAATGAGCGAAATGGCAATTAGTGTAATTGTATTTTTGTTACGGCTAATTAACGTTGTTTCAACTGCGTATTGATAATAATGACTCTGATGATGATGATGTTGATGATAATTGCAGCGCCACCTCCATCCTATGATTCCCTCTTCGGCAGAGTCAGAGAGGCGAGGAAGACGAGCAAAGGTGTCTTGGATTTCATCAAGAATGTCTTCATTATCCTTCTAGGAGCAGGTAAAATTCTTCAGGTTCCAATCGACATTACAACTTTTCAATACTTTCCGATAACTATGACGCACTCTATTCAAATCACACGTGCGTAATATACACAAAACTAACATAATATTACTTTTTGAAACTCTATATATATTCTCGTTATATGACGCACTTTTATTGAATAACACGTGCGTAATTATACATGGATTTAATGAAATATTAAATCAATTCACTTTTCAAAACTTTAAACTATGACATCCACTCACTTTTAGAAAATTTTAACTTATTTTATCCCGCAAAGTACAGCCAAATGGATAAATTCACAATAATGTATGATTACTCGTTACATTCCCCAAACATTCAGTTTGCATATGCATCTTTTGGATTCATTCTATCTATAATAGTTTTCAAGAAAA